CGAGCTATGATATCTTGCAATTGCGCTTTTAAATCTCAGAATTACGACTTTATAAGCTCACAATTGCGACTTCGAAATACCCCACATTTCATTGTCTGTCCTGTTGTTATTGTAACAGGTTCGGGTTCTAGGGCTTGTGCCCACGCCGCTCCCACCTTCGTGCCTCACTGCATGGGCTCGAACCCAGATCTTGCCAACTGAGCTAAAGAAGACTTTCTATTTTAAGTAAAAAAGGAATTGTACCAAAATTGTTTTGAAGAAGGTCTTCTTTAGCCCAGGTAAGACACGAACTAGGGTGGGAGCGGCGTGCCCTAGAACCCGAATCCATTACAATAACGAAAGGACAGGCAATGAAATGTGGGCTATTTCGAAGTCGCAAATGTGAGATAAAAAGTCGTAATTGCGAGATTCTGAGATATAAAGTAATACTGAGGTTTGTAAGTCGCAATTGTGAGATATAAAGTCGTATTTGCGATATGAAGTCGTAATTCTGAGATACAAAGTCGCAATTCCGAGATACCATAGCGCGGTTTGTTTTACTCCCTGGCGGAAACGGGCTTCCATGGGTATCGTGTTCATTCACATGTTAGTTTTCTTTTTCCAAAAATGCAAATTCTGCTACTGTATTAGCGGAACAAAGGACAAAAAAATGTTATTACGACAGAGCAGCTCGGTATCTCGAAATATCTGTTATACGAATGTGAGTTTGTAAGGATATTGCGTTATTTGGCAAACATATTGCTTCATTTTGAATACAAAATCGCAATATTTAACAAAAAATCCATGAATGCCAGTGTTTCACAGCAATGCAGTTCATATATCTCCCTTTTGCCAATCGGTGTTCAGCCCTTTTCAAAGAGATAAGCGGGTGCTTAGTGAGTAACATTAGCTGTGGACAAAATGCTGACGCAGCACACACATAAAAGTACGATCTGATGTTTAAACGTTTAGGTTAAAATGTTTGCATTTGGTGTAAAAATCGATAACCAATAGTTCAAAACTATAACAATTATTAATAATATGCTACGAGATTAGCCATGCGCACGCACGGCGGGTTGAGAACAGCGCCTGGGGCGGGACTACGGGACTGTATATAGTGGGACGGAGGCAGGGAGACGGTCTCTTCCCTTCGTGTATGTGTCTGTGTTAATCTACAGCAGGTGCAGCGCTATAACCCCTTTCCCTGTGTCTGTACCTTTCCCCGGTTCTGGAAATTAAATGTGTTGTTCAACCTCATTCCCTGAGTCCTACGCCTGCTCCATTCCGTACCGAAGCCCGCGGTCGGTACAATACAATGCTTTGTGCTTGTCATTATAATATTTTTCTATTTTAATATGTCTTTGTGCCTCAGCAGGCTAATGTTTTAATCTGGTTTAGGTAATATGTTACGGATGACAGATTTTTACATCTAAAGAGGAAATCCTACTTAGTATTCTGGTAGTATTTACCTTATACTCAGAATATACTCTGCATAAATGCTAGTCTGAGATGTACTGTAGTATGCTGTGAAAATGCATGATTTAATAACCACTAGTTAAATAACAAACTGTCCCATTGTTAACTGCTATAAACATCTGTAAAGCCCAAAATGTGTTAAACTATAGGACAAAGGATGATACTGATTGATTGATTGATATGTGTCATAACTTTGTACCGGGTGGACTAGATGGTCATAGTCTCCTAGATAGTCTCCTCTTGTTTCTTATGTTATTTGCCCTGAGACAAAAATTATCTTTAACTTTAGACCAATATGTTAGCCATATTATA